TTAAGAACTTTCATTTGAATTTCTGTAGCAAAGATCTATTTAAAGACATCAGGTTTTTGATCCCTGGACCGCCTCCACAGCCTTTTCCAGGCAACACTTAATGCCACGAAACTGTAACAAGTTTCTTGCTACCAATAGAGCACGTCCACAAAAAAATTTTGAATAGCTGAACTCACGTCTTTTAGCAATCACTACAACAAAAATAGCCAGTTGCAACATTAAAAAGGCTGTATGACAAATGTTGCCAAAATGATCTTTTGACAACATTTTAGTAAGTGAATGTTGCCATTAGTTAATATAAATGAGTTTTGGCATCGTTTTTTTGAAAAATGTTACGATAGACACATTTAGCAACGTTTATTGAATGTTGCGAAATGTTTTACCTTTAGCAACGTTTGTCAAACGTTGCGAAAGGTGAGACTTTTCGCAACGTTTGATAAACATTGCAAAAAGTCACGTTTCGCAACACTCAATAAATGTTACTAAAAGTAACATTTCGCAATGTTTGACCAACGCTGCAAATAATATTCTGGCCATTTAAATGAATCCATCACATTCCAAATTAAATTATACATGGGAACCAAAAATAACCGTAATCCTAAACTCATTCACGTTTCCATTTTTGCCGCCACCAATTTTTCGGCGACTTCCAGCCACCTAGATCGTCGGACATTGGTACCAACATAACCTCCTCAACATCCTCTACATTTCTCACCCAACAACTCCCATTTTTATCTATTAATCTGCGTAGTCCCGAATGTCGCGACACAGACTACATTTTTCGTCGATTTCGGCACCGTCGAGACGAACCGCGGTCTCGGACCACCTGGGCTGGGTTCGCCTTCACTTGGCGCACCTAGCCCAGCCATGGGTCTCCCCCAATTTGTCCTCTATCAGCCTAATTTCAGTTCGAGGTTCAGTTTCAGTTCCCCTATAGACAAACGTTGGTGTGGGAGATGGAAATGGAGGTGAAGACATTAAACTTCCCATTGGGTTTAGATTCCGCCCCACTGATGAAGAAGTGCTTCTTCACTACTTGATAAGAAAGATATACTCTTTGCCATTGCCGGCCACCGTCATTACTCAACCTGATGTTTCCAAATTCACTCCCTGGGACTTACCTGGTATGTAGTAATAACTTCATTTTGTTTACTTACTGCCATTACACACGTCTTCATTGCACAAATCCCTCTATGTATTTAAGGTGATTTGAAGGAGAAGAGATATTTCTTCAGCAAGAGAAACATGAATGTAATGAATAATCGCAGCAGTTTCAGTGCTAGCTGTGGTTACTGGAAACCCACTGGCCAAGACAGCCAAATTGTGGCTCCTGGAACGAATCGAGTAATTGGAATGAAGAAATCCTTGGTCTTCTATTAAGGCAACTATTATCGTGGTTGTGGGATCAAAACTCAATGGGTTATGTATCAATATTGCATTCTGGCCTCTCCAAGGTGCGCCTCTTATAACTTTTTGTGATAATGAAGCAATT